GTTCTTGGTGGAACGCTGGCTAAATTCATGTCCCGATTTCACACACAAAAAAAGTGATACGGACGGGCCCACCTTTAAATAATCAGAAACAGTTTTGTATAATGCAATTAGGTTTCAACGTTGTCAGCGATCAGCGAACAACAAAATCTAGACCCGAAGCCAAACCAGTTATAAGACCGAAGTTTCACATCTTCTTATCTGTGACGTGAGCTAGCAATGGAAACTGTTGGTTGGGTACCACACAGCATACTTTATGTCTTTGGATTTCCGTAATAGACTGGTGCCTTGTATTCTTTCTCTCTTGTGTTTGTTGCTTTTTATTGTAATTTAGTGTTCAAATATTTGTGACTCGAATTGACTCGAGCTAAGTACTTGACTCGACTCGACTCGACTCGACCACACTCTGTGACTCGACTCGACTCGACTCGACCTTGTTGACCTAATGACTCGACTCGACTCGAGTCACTTCTTTAAAATGACTCGACTCGACTCGAGTCACAAAAATCAGTGACTCGTTACAACTCTGCTTGAAGATTGCCGATATCCGACTGCCAACTTGCTCAAACAAAATGCAAGGAAACACGTAAGAAACAAATAGAAGAACTACCTCAACATGCATTTTCAGCTTACGAGTGAGAGAGAGGGTTTTTATACGGGACGACGTGCTACAACTCACGCAGGTTCAGCCGAGAGAGGTTATGCCCCTTCCAGAAGAAGAAGAATAATAACTAGGGGCAACGATGATGGATTCTGAATCAAAGATGATAATAAAATTAGCAGGGGGAGAGAAATCTGGGGGCCGGGGCGCATCTCTATCTCTGGCGGTCTAGTTCGATAGCAGTTGATTGGGATTAAGACCGATGCAACTACCCTTGCGTGCCCAAGGTGTGGAGGAGCGCGGTGATGCAAAATAGGCCAAGGCTTTCAGGGGAAAATTTGGGGGTGGGGGAAATTTTCTGGTGGTGATGGAGTAATAATGATGGTTCTTGGGTATTTTTGATGCCTGAGACGTTGACAGTGCCGAAGATGAATACCTGACTCTGGAGATGAAGTATTTTTGTGAGGTTTCTGTAATAATCATGTGAGAGTGGATGGAAATAGACCCCATCTTTTATAGAAAGAATTTTGGGGGTGTATTATGGCATTGATGAAAGAACATATGAGGCATGCAGCGCAAAAACTTGTGATTTCTTCCGTTGGTTGGTAAATATGTTACGTCTGCGTTGTTTATTTGGTTTGGTTTCTGCGTTGGTTTCTTTTTTTTATTTGTTTTTTGGGGTGTTTTTTTTGCTGATTCGTTTTGGTTGTTTCTTTTTGTTTGTTAGTTGGGTTGTTTTGTTGTTTTTATTTGTTTGTTGGGTTGGTTGGTTGTTTGTTTGGATGGTGGGTTGTTTGTTTGTTTGTTTGTTTGTTTTATTTCTGTGAGCCGCAATGAAGATATCTTGAAAAGGGCATAACATTCAAGAGAAAGCCAGTGTCGTGAATGGCGCATACCACAAAGACCAACGGATTTTACGAAGCATTGTTCCTTTATTGATACATGAGACCACGATGATACAAAAAAAACATTGAACAAGATAAGAATTTAACTGATTTTGATATGATAATTGGCAATATTAGATAAAAGGTAACGTTTTAGTCTCTATGCCTGTGGGATTAACATACTGGAGATTTCGCAGAGGTATCGGGAGTGAAACGATTTTGATGAGAAAAAAAGGGTGAAGATGTTCAAGATAATGTGAAGGGTGAAGTTCATGATGCTTGTACTAATAAGATGAGCATTTACATTTTATATTTCATTATCGCGAATAAATTGGACTTTAACTCCACATTTTAATGAAATCACTCTGCTGCAAACAAGCTTCAACATGTCCCGATCTTTGTCCAGGTAAACAACACATAAACTGCGCTGCTCTCCACAAATATCATGATCCAAACACACGCACGCACACACATCCCTATGTTATTAAATTCCCCATATCAAGTGTACAAGCGCATCACTGGTATTGCCTTGATAAAAAAAATGAATAAAAGTCATTTCTATGCAAATGACTTAGCAGTGTGTTGTCTTTTTAATAATCGTCACATGTATGTTATGGGTCCCCCACCCCTCCAACCAGTTTGCATACTCGCATAATCTATTAATCAAACAGAAATCTCGCCGGGGCTTTTGTTTGTTCTAATTTCCCAGTAGACGAGATTTTGGTGAACGGCAGATATTACTGTGCGAAGGAATGCCAAAGGCTATGCACACTATATGTATCCATTTTTTTTTGACTGCGTTGTGTATTGTGTGCGGTGTATTTTTGGCATGCATGTGGAATGAATGCTTTCCTGCAGTCAACGGATGCGTCAGGCGAGTTCGTTTTACCAAATGTTGATCAAAAGATTGTAGTGGTTGAAAACGTCAAATCAAATATTATTGCTGGAGCCTTTTATTGTATTTAAATATATTTCAATATATGCAGTATATTTCAGTTCAATTGATTTATCATGAGCAAAATATTCTTATTCCGTCGATTGAACATGCATGGATGACTGGAATGACTTAAACATACATGAATGACTGGTTTACATTAGGCTGATTTGACAGAGGTCGTATGAAGCTGATATGGCATGAGTGTTAGATTGATATGACATGAGGTTATTGGACATTGATATGACATGAGGTTAACAATATAGGCTGATGACAGAGGTAATATGAAGCTAATATGACACGAATGCGGGCCGATATGACATGAGGTTACATGTGAAAAGGGTAAAAGATAATGAGACGGAATGACATATGGAATGACATGAGGTTATTTGAGGTTGGTATGATCATGGAGCTATAAAGACATAGGTCCATGGTATGATATGGGTTTATATGACGCTGATGTGACATGAGGTTAACATTGGGCTGATATGACGAGGTCATATGAACTATGAAGCTGATATGGCAAACTGCTGGTCTGATATGAGGTTGCATTCGTATGTGAAAGGTAATAATGAGACTAGTAAGGAATGACAAGAGGTTATTTTAGGTAGGTATTTTATGATTCTGTATGACGCTGATATGACATGAGGTTCCTAATGTTATATAGGTCAAATGAGGCGCTGCCACGACAATGGAGTACAAGAGGCTGATATGGTATGAGGTTGCACACGGATGTATAGTAACATAACATTGATGTTATTACATGAGGTTAACTCTCACAGACTGACTTCAAATGAAGCGGACATGAGTGTCATAAGGCCAAAATGGGACGAGGTTATACAAGGTTTATGATGGCAATATTACAAAACGAATTTTATGCAAGTCTTTAGACGAAGAACCAAAACTATGCATTCGTTTATCGTTTTGAAAACCGGAATCTGTGAAGTATTTGACAGACATGCGAGGCGTATTTTAAGAGTTTCTTAACCGTGGAGTGAGTTATTATGGGCAGCATATCATCGGCTTTATCGGGAATTGGCTCGGCCGACTGCCTCTTGATAGGACTGCACGATCCGATACTGTCCACGGAAGCAAGTTTGGCCAGCGGCGTTTATTCTGAAATCCGATTCGGCGATAGACCTTTCTTTTGGAAAAACAACAGTATTTGATATATAGACCGGTCCGATAATGGATATACACGCGCACGTATAGGTAAATAGGCACACTGCCTACGTGGATCGTAGCTCATTTTGCATGCCCTCGGGTACTTAATCGGGACTTTCGACTGTGCTCGAGCCTCTAACTCTGGAGTATTTTGGAGCGTAATGGGTACATCGATATGCCCTATTATCTATGTAGTGGATTGCTAACTGAGTTTTCACTAAGGGTCCTTCCTTTTGGAGGGCTTTTCAAGCGCTTGTTTTGTTGGTCGGCTGTTTTGGAGTGGAAACTTACCAACAATGACCACCATTTAATAACTGGTTTTAAATGAAGGGTCGACTTTTTACATTTTTGTGAGTAAAACTGTGTAGAGATTTTGTTGGGTTTTGCTGGTCTCAGAGAGGCCAGCCTGCACTGACTGTCTCAAAGTCACTTGTGAACCGGGCAGTGCTATTGTATAAGATAATGATTACTCCGTAACGCCAATGAAGGCCATTTTCTAGACTGGCGCATGAAAAGACTTCCACTGAAAAGATATTCTGAACCAATTTGTAACCGATTTCTGTGGGATTTGGGACCAGTTTTACTAGAATTCCCTTGCTTTGCTTGTTGTTGTTGTTGCTTTGGGTTGTTTGTTTGTTTGTTTGTTTTTTGTTTTCCAATTGGGGTGTTTTTCATTGAGCATAAACCATAGCTAAGTTTACCATTGGGCACATCACAACACCGGGAAAGTAGGTCGCTTTAAGTAAGGGTTTTTTCACGGGCGGATGGGCATAAACCCACCTCTGACCAATCTTAGACCTCGTGCGCAATTAATATCAATCCGCATGTAATATAAGGCGTTGACTAGATTACAGTCGGCATTGTGTTGGGGTCTTCAAATCGGATTGGCGTAGCGCAGGGATTATTTCCGTTTAAGGGGTCCTGTATTAGACAGTCTCTAATCATATTCCTCGCCTCCATTCCGTTTAAGGTAGGAATATACTCAATGGCATGGAAAGCAGGCAATCAATTTAGAAAAAAAAGGCAATATAAATATATTTTTAAATGAAAACAGCAAATGGGATAGTATTCAAATGTTATTTCTAAACTATGAAATGAATAAAATTGAGAGATGTGAATATATTATTCATACAGACTGTTTAATATAATTGCACAATTATATTAAACCGCAGTAACAACCTAATAAATATTAAATAAGAGGGCAATATATGAAATATGTTCCCAAAAATACTGGGTTGTATTTTCGCTATATCAACTGACTGTCTTTGGTGCAAGGTTTTAATTAGATAATTATGTTCCCAAAAAGCTCTGAAACTCGGCAAATAGAACAACGGATCAGACACACGTAGGCCCTGACATAGTGTTGCGATGTAACTAAACAGACACAGACACGGACAAGCAGATTTTCTTTCTTTCTTACCTCTTGTGCAGTTGAGGCAGAGCCAGTCCTGCGGTGAGTACTTGGAGTAGCAAGTCGCGCACGACATGCAGGCGTCCCCGTCCAGCGTCCGCACCGTGTTGACCGGGCAATCACCGTCCTCCGTCTGCGGGAGTTCAAACGCGGCAGACAGGGGGAGCAGAACGCCGGCCACGCTGACCAAAAACACCACCGAATAAAGGGGGAGCAAAGTAGTCATCCTGAGCTTGTCCCGAGTCATTTTGGAGAGAAGAGATGGCAGGGATCCGCGAAAAGATCACAGATTGAGCCCGGTTCTGTGGTGAGTTTGGAGATGGTGGTTGAAGCAGCAAGTCTTGGTAGGCCTATGTGATGTTAATCCGTGGGCAACTGCTTCTAGCTCGGTCATGGCTGGCCTGTCGCGTCGCTGTTGTGACTTTCCCCTTGGGGCCGATCTCGCTGCCTCTTTTTTTTGGTACCTGCAGTGTACATCAAGACAAACAGGCCTCATTAATCATTCCGATCATGATGATGATAAGCGAGCTTCGCCGTACAGCAATACCGATTTAACGACGCTCTGTGCATATTAAAAAAAAACAAGAGCATGATCAGACGGCCTTCAAAAAAACCACCGAAATGACGAGCCATTTGGAAAATATTGGAGTTGGATACAGTCTAGTTGTCGATAAGGCCGGGCTAGCTAGATGCACTGAAGTCTGAAGCGTATCCCTGCATGCTGCGCCCAACAATAACAATCGCTATTCATGTACAACTTCAGTCGTATACTGCACCTTTTTAATTACATCTAGCTTAATAGATTATGAAGATTAATGCTTTGTATCGACTGTGACACAGCGGCCTCAAATAGTTGATAAAGCTTTCAATTGATGAATTAATTGAAAGACAGGTATAGTGTGAAATTTGGACTCGATGAAATACGGGCTCATTTTGTTTTGCGCATGCTGTTAGCAGAATTAGCGCAGTGACAGATCACGTGCGAGAATTACAGTCCATATAAGGTCAAAGAGACCAGATTTCACAAGAGTCAACATTTCATGTGACACCGGTCACTGGCCGTTCTAACGACGTGACATATATACACGGTACGCTGCGCGCTGCGTCGCTCGTAGGTTATTGCGATGTAGACGGTGATCCCCGTTCACATAAACAGATTTGCGCTAATTCGATTTGCCATCAGGTCCGCGGGACACAATAAAAAAAATTCGTAGCCGATAATCCTCGGCTATCTTTGTGCGGTGGTGGCGAGGCTATTTTCATTATCATTAGGTTGTCATTCAAGTGCATATATTAAAATATACAAGCCAGGTTATTTAAGCATACAGTAACTGTTTATTTGAATATTCCAATTATCATTTTAAGTCATCAATACCAATAACGGTATAAATATGCTGTTTATTACGGTGCAGCTGGTTGACCAATCACATGCACCAAAATTTCACGCAGTCGGCCATTTTGAAACATCAGCACCAAGTGGCGCTCTCTGATTGGCTGTACCAATTGTGATGCACAAAATGCCAAGGCGCTGATTGGTCACGCGTCGTTGTATTTGCAAGCATTCCTCTCGTTTGATATCGCTCATGGACGAAACTGTCAACATGTCATACAAGTTCCACTTAATTCGCCTAAAACTAACGAAATGCGACGTGTTTTGATCAAATATACAGAAGCATACCAGAACTGAACACTCAGCTTTTGACGTTTCGACAGGTAGCTATTTATACTCCTTCGTGGAGAGGCAATCGTAGTAAAGCGTCTTGCCCAAGAACATTTTTGAGTCAACGCGTGCAAAACCCACTGCTTTGCCACCTATTTAAAAGTGTGCAAACCTGTTGTGCGTGGCCATTTTAATCATCGTTAACCTTTATAGTGATTTACGCGTACGCAAGAGCCATTTCTTTGTATTCCAGCCACGTCGTCTTTGAATGCCGTTCCTATTTATGCATATTGCACAGGTTCCTCCAATAACTACGATCATATTGTTTCGCCATTCAATTACATGGCGTTTACCTTTTTAATATGCAGAACGTGTGAGTACTGTGAAAATCCGGTCAAGTGTGCGCTGGCACAATATGACTGGCGAACCGTTAATAACACACGGTGTATTAAATGCAATATCAGTTCTAGTTTGTTGCATACGGCATCCATCTTGGATGTTTTTTCTAGTATGTTATTTCACACACAAAAATGGCATATAAGGTCTAATCGTGTGTATTTCTGTTGACAAAAAGCACCGTACCTCCAAAATGGCTGCAATGCAAAGTGTCTATATTAGGTATAAACCTTCAAATGTATTATTAATAATATAATAAATTATATAATATATACAAAATTTCATCACCAAAGCATTGAACATATTAAAGCTTTAATCATGCACTCCTGTTGAGATTTTAAAGGGACTGTATGTTCAAGATGGCTGCAATGTGTCTATATATATTAAGTATATGCCCATATAAATTTAATTGAACACAAAATGAAAGAAATTATACACGTACATTACATTATCGCAATTCATTATAGATCACTTACAAACGCATGGGAGCAATTACAAAGAGCACTGAAGCACACACGTGTTGTGTTAATTCAGTTGGAAAGTGGTGGACGTTTTACCGAGGTTCTGGTATTCACATGATTAGAATTGTTGAAGCAATAAAACACACAAGACAAAGGGCAATACATGTACATTCCAGTCGATATATTCTGACGATAAGCTGTCTGTAGGTTGATATTCCCAATATGCATAATCGTCCCCTCATCATTATACTATATCAACCATAAGGACAGCTGAGATTTCAACTCACGTAAACACCACCGACCTTTTGGGAAAAAGCCCAAGCACTTCCAAGCTACTTCCCCGAGTCCATCGGGCCTGACCTCCCGTTGTTGCTATCCACGCAGTGTTTTCATTACCCGATGTTGATGATGAAGACGATAATGATGCCCGGCTGCATATCTCCCTTCACATCTCCTATCAGTTACTAAAACCCCCACATCTTCAGTGACAAACAGATTCCTTTTTAATGGAAGAGGAGACAGAAAACGGAAACAGAGAACTAAGCGAGAAGAAAATCCGTATTCCAGTGATGCACTCAGTGAGTTCCCAAGACGCTGTGATGTCTCCCACTTCACTTTGAGTCTGGTATTATTTGTGTCCTCTCTGTGGAGCACCTCACGTCTTCGAAACCTCCCGCCACCGACGGCGGAGCCAGACAAGCATGACGCTGGGTAATGAAAGCGGTCGCTCCTCGGGGGGAGCCGAGCTATAACTGCCCCATCTGCAGGACGGGGAGTGCGTGAGTGAACTGCCTCATAAGACGACAATCCTTTTATACCAAGCCTTATATCAAACCACATAGACTGAACCCTGTGTGCGGATCTACAGTTCTATGTGACTGGCGCGCCAACAACTCCCAAGGACCCGAAGGGTGTGAACGCCGTGGCAAACTCCACCATCCTACATCATTGATAATGCCCCCATCTCATGAATATTAATGACTATCTCATTCTTGTTTATAAATATTCATTTGGATATAAAAATCCAAACACCACTATATAAGCGATATATCCAGTTCTCTCGGGAGTTTAAGGTGTTAAGAAATCAGTTTTTTGTAATGAGCAGTATCATAATGGTATTATTAAACTAAGCTTTTAGCATGAGAATATTTACGATGCCTACCTAATAACAATATTAATATTTTATAGTCTGTTCTCGCGGGAATAATACAATCTGGAAAATCGTTTAATGTCAGGAAAGCAATAAGTTTGCTGAATGATAAGCTATTACATTATATTGCAAATCTTACTACAAATGTAATAAGTCCTTATGTACAAATTTACATACAGACAATTTTATGGTACATCAATAGCATTGCATTTACTTTGAAATGTTAGATTGTCAAAACACGAGCAATACAAACAGTGGTGCAAAGTCCTTATCACCTAAACAAACAAGTTGAAATAATAGATAGTAGAGCCATGCAATTCGTGATTTCAAACAGTACTGGGTTATATCGATTGAGGTTTTTTTTTCTTCGCCAAAATTTCATTTCTGTCTTCACAAGCGAATGAATCAAGGAACCGATAACTGGGAAATACGGTAAGTCTTAAAATAAAGGTGCATATCGCGTGAACGGTTTATTATTATTATTTTTTTAACCTAGTGGGGTTTTTTTTCAGAGTGAAATCTAAGATTCCAGAGTTATTAGCGAGTGATCGCTGAGAACTCCAACAATCAATAGGCACAGTCCATAATGGCTCTACAGTTTCCCGATAATATGTTCCCTACGGATACGCTTTCTAGACGGTCTATAGCTAAGGATCTATGTCACGCTGGTGGCGCAACATGCACTTAGCAGTGTGTTGATGCTGCAGTTTTGTACATTTAGGCGGCTGTATCAAGTTCCGATACCGTTAGTGTATCATGTTGATATCTATAGCCTGATAAGTTAAGAGTTTTATTTTGTCCTGGGAGTTTTATATCGTGCTGCAATGTTTATCCTTTGTAGTTGGTTTGATGGTGGATATTTTCAGCTGTAGGTAAATTATATAGATACAATGAGATTGTTATTTCCATAGGTAACGTGATATTGGTATTGATATTTCGGTATAGGTGAAATGAAATCAGGGCCTACGTGTATTTCTATATATATATTGGTAAATTACTAGGTAAACGATTAATAAGGTTATCAACCAGTTTATGTTTTCGTAGTATGATCGCAATGCGAAAAGAATGTATTGAGGAATGTTATGAGGATTGTGTCTGAAGGGCGTGGTTATTTATAATGCAGATTGGCTATTCAAAATGTAAATTGATTATTCAAATTCATTTTCAATGGGAATCGGTTATACCAGTTGGCTATTTAGAATGTAAATTGCTTGCTCAAAATGCAAATTAAACTGATGCAAATACAGCTATTAATTATTCTGTTGGGCAAATGATATAGCCAAAATTAATTGCATTGTGATGTTACGGTACCTTAAAACGGACACAAACAATTTTACTTTTGATTTCAAAAATTGAAGCGTCTTGATGGAAGAAACTTTTAATATTTAACATCAGATGAACATGCGAGCAAGAACACTTTTAGAAGATTACTTGGGTATTTTCAAAACAAGATTGATTTGTATTGGGGTTTTAGGAACTCAATCTCGCGAGTTGAAAGTTTGGATGAAATCACCGCAAAATCTATAGCACGTCTTCAGTGACCTATCGACAGTGTACTCTTCAATCTTGCCGCGGCCTACGGTCTTCGGGATTGCGTTATTGATCGGTGTTTTCTAGGTGACGAGGCATTGAGTTGACGGCTCTGGTGAGAGTGAGGGGGCAAGGAGCGGCTCGACCGGCAGGGCCGATCGTCGCCGCTTTGTCCGCGGGTCTGCTATAGACCCGGGGACTTGATTAATGGAAGGGGAGATCGGTAATGACAAGCCAAGGATGAGAGAAGGAGAGGGATCGAGGAGG